GTTTTTGGCTGCAGCTCTGCCTAATGTCAAATGGGTTCTGCCAGGTTTTTATCAATGTCAAGGTGGGAAAAAGAGAGAGGCAATGTTCATGTGCATTATCCTTATTTTAAGTGCATTAATTAGCTTGATTTTAAGGCAGCAAGCTATAGTTTCTGCTAGTGATTGATGCATGTTTTTCAGGTCTAATTGCACTTGGTTTCCTCGGATTATGGCTGGAAATTGTTTGAACATATGCATATCGCATACCACTAATCTTCATTCTGAATGAATTGGCAAAAGATGCAACTGTTTTTCATTTCCACACTAAAACAATGATCTTGGCAATTTAATGGTTTCAACTAGCAATATAGTTTTCAAATATTATATATTTTCCTTTGTCTTTTTACGTTTAGTTGGTTTTTTGAATGAAGTTGTGGACTATGTATGTATGGAGCATTGAATCACTCACAGCCGGATTGCAAAATGTGGTGGAAACCAGGCCAAAAAACCGATGTTGCTTTTGTCAAAAGATGAGGCACCATCATTGCTGAGGAAGCTCAACTGCATTCACTTGGGTTATGGCTGCTGCTACAAGTTGAATCATTTTCTATCTGGGGAAACCACGTATTCTAACAAATGTGCAGTTGTTCACGGAACGGTTTTCAGTTTGAATATTTTCCTCTCCATTTCTGGCTATAAATTTGCTGTAATTTTGAATGTTAGAAAATATTCTACTGATGTAGCAGTAGCTCCAATTATTTTGAATGACTGTGTTTTTATACATGATAAATGAGACAGTGGAAATCTAGTCTGATCTTTCAAACATTATATCAATTCAAACATTATATCAATCCTATATATAATGTTTGAAAGATCAAATTAGAATATGAAAATAAGGTTGTGTCAAAATCCGAAATTTAGAACTGTCTGCTGGCAAGGCAATTCGAGGTGAGCACATTGATTCGTTGTTTTACAGATGGTTTGATGGCCCTCCTTCTGGAACCAAACTAGAGTGATTCTACCTGTGTTTGAAGTCTTCCAACACCAATATGCTTCCCTGAAGGTCATAGTATATAACTGTCCCGGTGTTGAACTGCCCGCCGTCTGTCGCCGCATTTTGTCATACCACGTTCCCTTCAATTTTTGCATCCATTGGAAGTGTTGTTCTGTGATCTTAGTTTTTAGTTTTATCAGGGTGATTTTACTATAATTTCTGTGATCTTAGTTTTTAGTTTTATCAGTAACTAAATTAAACCTAAAAGATTTGGTGATCTTACTAAAAGACTGTTCTGTTCTTTTCAGTCCTTCAAGCTTCTTCTTCTTTTTCTTTGTAATTTTATCTTTGCACACCGGTCCTTCAAGCTTCTTCTTCTTTTTTTTTCTTTTTTTTTTAAATTTTATCTTTGCACACCCCAATGTTTTGGATTTTGATCCTAGAATTTGTTTCAATTACTTTGCCATGAGATTCTCAGGGTATCAAAAAAAGTCTCCATGTTCGATTCATCAATTTTAAAAAAACAAATTTGACCCTATTGATTGAAAAATATTCACGATTCAATGGCCCAAATTGAAATTACAGGTGAAACGAAGGGCTTTGTTACCTTTTCATCCTACTTTATTTTTCACCTTGAGATTTTGTCGAACTTTTCTTGTTTCTATTTAGTTTGAAAATTATTCTTTTTGGTTAAAAATTTCATTTATGTTATATATTAATCATTGAATTTAAGGTAGAAAATAATTTTTAAAAAATAATTTTTCAATTTTTTTTATATTTATTTGCTATTAGAAAAATTGATAAATAGAAAATATTTTTTAAAAATTAGAAAAAATTTATAAATATCATATTATTTGCTGATTATAATAAATTTGATTCTCAAACTTTTAATTGCTATATATTTTGTTTTGAATCTTTTGTTTTTAATTTTACCCCTTAAAATTTGATTTTATATTAACTTTGGTTCTTATTTTTATTTGTTTTTTTGCTATTTTTTAATTGAAATTTTTTTATCTATAAAATTTGACATTTATTTTTTTAATTATTATTTATTTTATTTGAAATAATTTATGAAAGTGTAGTTATTATTATTTTAATTTCATTATTTTTTAATTTTTTATCTGTTATATTTGATCTTTATTATTTTGATTGTTATTTATTTTATTTGAGATAATTTATAAAATTAGATTTTTTTAATTCTATTTTCATTCAATTTTTAAATTTATAAGATTTATTTCTTATTATTTTAATAATAAATAAATAAAAATATTCAATTAACTACATTCTGCCAACTAAAATAATTGATCTTAATATTAACATATTATATTTAACGAGAAAAGTTTGATAGTGATAATTTCTTTTTATATATACATGAAAAGATAGATCAAGTCTGTTTAGATTTTTTTTATTTATATGATTTTTAGTTCTTGAGCGATGTATGGAAGTTTTATGGTTTTTTTTAAATAATAAAACCAACTTAAAAATAAACTTTTTAAATTTTTAAATATTGAATTGTTATTTTTGGTGATTAGAGTTAACAACCTTTTATTCGTTCAAAAATAAAAAAAAGTATAATTTTAAAAGGTAACTCATCTAGTTAAATTTTAAATTTATTTTTTAAAATTACTAAAAATTTATATAACCGTTAATTTTAAAGTTCTTACAAAAAAATTTATATAACCGTTAATTTTAAAGTTTTTATAAAAATTAAAATATATATAAATTAATTCAAATATTTATGTTAATTAAAAAAACTATAGCATGTCATTTATTTAAAAAAACAAATTAATAAAAAAAAAACTCAGTTGCATGCCTAGGCTTCTTGGCCTAGGCTGACTTAGGCTTTTTAATTAAAGCCGAGCACGTGAGCCCCCTTTATAGGGCTTCGCTTTCAACGTTACCCACCCGTGCATATAAAGTGTTTTAGTTTATTTTTTTTATTTAATTTATTTTTTTTAAATAATTAATTTTAAATGTTATAATTTATAAATATATTAATTTACTAAATTAATTAATGATATGTCTTATATATTATTTTATCAAATACAATTCAATTTTGACTTTATTTTTAATAAGATTATAACAATTTTTGATGTAATATAAACAAGTCTTTTTACATTTCATCATTATCTTTCTAAAATTATATATAGTTGATTGTGTGTTTTTTTATTATCATTTAATTAAATAAAAATTATTTAAAAAAATAATATTATTAAATCAATTAAATTTATAATCTAAATTATTAATTCGATGAGTTAGCTTAATTTAATAAAAAAAATATAATTATTTTATATTAAAAAAAAACTTTCTTGTACATATCAAATTTTAAGTTAATAATTAAAAAATTTATACTATCTTCACATCAAACTTTGAGTTTATATTTGAAAAAAATTACTTGCAAATAAAAAAGATATTAACATGTACTTTTTTTTTACATTGAAATTTTTTTTCCGGTATGACCTGCAATGAATAACGAGCTCGTTGCCTAGTGATAGCTAATGGAGATTTTTAGTAATTACTTTTGAAAATATTACCCAATTGCCTGCTGCTGATGAATCGATCTAAATGGATGAATTTTTTTAATAGTTATTTTAGTAGATAATATGTGTAGATATATATATATATATATATATATTGCTTTTTTATTTTATATTTATAAATAAATAATACTTGAATAATAAATACCTAAATAAATATTCAAAACTGTATTACACAATTGTTTTCTCTAGATATATAATGGATATGATATAGACTCGAGCAATGGAAATTATTGTCATCCCAATATATCGGCGATCACCTTTCATCTGACTCAACTTTTGGTGGGTTGGTGGGAGTGATGAACAATGAATCTGGTTCAAACTAAGTGCGGTCTGCAAGACTACTGCCATGGAATTTGTAGCGTAGATTTTGAACAGGTCAGATGAATTCCTTCTCTCTTGTTTGAACTTAATAGAATGGTCTCTTTCCGGTGTTCGGTAGTGCTATGATACATGCCTACAGTCTTCGGTCAAAAATCGTAGGTAAGCAATGCGGTTTAAGAGTTTCAACTTTCGATCAATTGCAGTCAAGTTCTCCTTAGAAAATCGTGTTTCTAGGGCTGGTATGTTTTTTGTTCCTTTTCTCTTGTTTTTTCGTTTCACCGGAAGGCTAGCGCCCGACGGTCCTGGATCAACAAAATAAGGGTGCCGCCACAGGATGTTAGGCATGGTTGCGCTGCCTCGACCGCCCATCATGTATATATGCTAAAGATAACTAGGAACATAACACAACACGCACGCACCTCTCACATAGAATATTCAAAGACATTTCATCGTTTTCTATATATTATGATTTTCTATGATAAGTGTTCTATATTGTATAAAAAGAATTTGTCTTGCAGGAGTACGAAAGAGCCGTGAAAAGGTCAAACTTATTTTTAGATTCTTCGACTCCATTAACTGACCTCACCAAATTTTAAGATTTTCGATCATGCCTTGAGATTGGCAATCGCAAGTTTTATTGCCGGATAAGAAAAAGAAAACAACCTATTATCAACCACTAGGCAGGCTGGTACATAGGTACCCCGTGAAAAAGACAAGCACCGAGATTTTCTAATCTCTATTTTTCTTTTCTAAAATAACACTTTTTAAGAGGTTTTTTTAAATGAAATTTTAGATTTACTATCATCAATTTTTTTTTTAACTTAGTGTTGTTGTGCATACCTTGAGTTTTAAAATTAATAATATATAAATTTTTAATAATTTAAAATTTATAAAATTTAAGCTAATAATTTTTAAAAAATAAATTTAAAATCTAATCAATTAAACTATATTTTTTAAAATTATTCATAATAAATTTTCAATCTATAACTGGAGTAACCATCTTAATACACTATTATTAGTATGCTTCAAAGAAGATCGAAAGGGGTTTAAATGAATCTTTTTGTAGGAAAAGAATGTACTTAGAAACAACTCGTAGTTGTTTCTATGTGAGAGTATGAACTATGGAACTAGTTGTCACGGTTCAAAGTCAGCAATTCTGGCTAAACCGAGTATATTATTAAGCGTGAACCTGTATAATTATGAGAGTACAAGATATCCTGAGCACACACCAAACCACCCCTGCATGGAAACTCCCTCGGGGAAGAAAAAAAAGAGTAAAAAAAAGGAAGGTAACCCAAATGTACAGAATGCTGATCAGTAAAGCTGATCTATGCCTATTTGCGAATTTCCTCTAGTTCCTGGGAAAGTACAAACCAGTTCCTAAGGTTTTATACAAAGCTGTATCGGAATACGCAGCTCTATACTTCAATGACTTCACCCTACGTCTGTGCCGGCGACCTCTTTGATTGTGTTCACAGCCCTTCTTTTTAATCCCCGCCTCCTTTCCTTCACATTTGTTTCCGTTTTTGATCTCGTCATATTCATTTTTGCCTTCGTTTCCCTTCTTTTCTACACCACCAAGGATTTTGCCTTCAGTTGGAACAATATACACAAAGGTTCCAGTTGGAGTGTCTGTTAAGTCAAGTAACTGCTCCAAGGTCCTGACAACAGTACTCATAGTTGGTCTTGATTTGGAATGGTGACTCAAACACTGGTAAGCCAATCCTGCTGCCTTTCTCGCACCCTCGGTCGAATACTGGCCTTCAAGTCTTGGGTCCATGATTTGTTCTAGCTTACGGGGATCCTTCAACTGCGGTCTTGCCCACTTTACTAGGTTCTGCTCTCTATTCGGAAGGTTCTTGTCCAGGGATCGTCTACCAGTAAGAAGCTCTAAGAGTACCACTCCGAAGCTGAATACATCACTCATGGTTGTTAAATGACCTGAGAAATACCATCACTGTTAATTAGTCATGCCAAATCTTCCTACTACTATTGATAGTGAAAACATCAGCTTGAATGATCACCTGTCATTATGTATTCCGGAGCAGCATAGCCTTCAGTTCCCATAACACACGTTGTAATGTGTGTGTCATCTCCTTCAGGACCATCCGTTGCCAGGCCAAAATCTGAAAGCTTTGCATTATAGTCCTGAGATACGAACATGTCTAATTTTGTTAGAACGTAACTCTGAAACCAAGAGCAGTATGTTTGCAATACATTAAATTAATGCTGGAAGAGAAATGATTACCGAGTCTAACAAGACATTTGAAGCCTTAAAATCACGATATATGACTGGTTTTTCTTCTTCATGGAGGAAGGCAAGCCCTTTCGCTGCTCCAACTGCAATCTTTAGTCTTGTTAACCAAGGCAAGGCTGCAGAATATCCTGCGTCAATTCAAACACGTCAAGAACATACATATGCAACCGCGAATGGGATCAAAGAAACATTTCTAGCGTGGTATTTCTTTCGATAATGTGGATTAATACGAAGCTGATGGTTTATCTAATCCATTAGAAATTAAATTTATTTATGCAGTATTCCAATAAGGGAATACATACTGCAAAATAGTTTGTCCTCTAGGTTGCCTCGCTCTACGTATTCATACACAAGAAGCCGATGCTCATCCTCGCAGCAGTAGCCGATCAAGTTCACAAGATGGCGATGCTTCAATTGCCCAAGAAAGATGACTTCAGCCTACAAAATTGAAAACACTGGTCATGCTCTCAGGTTTTCATCAGAAAATCTAAAGATTCTAGGCCACTCCATGGACTATATTGAATTAACTCTAATTGCTTACCAGCCACTCTCTGTGTCCTTGAGAGCCATCCGGATCCAATGCCTTGACAGCCACAGGCTGAGCCTTTAATCCCGGCCTGAGCTTGTCGTCAATGAAACCTTTGTATACAGCTCCAAATCCACCTTCCCCCAGATAATTGCTTTTTGAGAACTCATGTGTTATTGTTCTTAACTCTTTCAGAGCGAAAACATGAAGGTTAAATATAGAACTGGAAAGGTCACTGAATGAGATTGGCGAACCAGGATTGCTAAAGTCTGATATTGATAGTCTCTGGGAACATATTTGTTTTGGCTCTGGGTAGGATGAGCTCTCGCTTTTGAAACATCCTGGGAGTATTGATTTCCATGTGAACTTTTTGAGAACCATTTTGATCTAATATCTATTCAAGGCATATCCTATAGGCTTCCGTCTGAAGTTTGTTGTGTATATATACGACCTTTCCTGGATTACTCAGTACTGCTGGCTACATTATTTTATGAGAAAAGTGAAGGAATCTGAGTGTATTTGACCGGCAGTTGAGGTATGTCAGTCGTCGGGCCTCTTCTGCTTGAAAGCTCACTTTCTACGGCTCTTATGTCTAACCTCCTCCCCGTCTCTGTTTCTCTTGGAAAAGCTTATGTAACCTAAGATTTTCCCATCTCTACGATAGACGCTTGAACGGGATTTATCCTGCAGCATGCATCAACAATTTATCATTTACGAAAAAACAAAGACAAGAAAATCTTGAAGGCTAACCGTCAGGGTTGTAGGGCAGGTCAAGTGCGAGGATGTGCCCGCTCTGGTCATGATTCATGAAACAATAGGCTCTTTGTAATTCTAAATCGATCAATATATATTATAGATTCCAAATGCGGATCTACAAAGCTAAATGGGCCTGGTTGACTTGGAATAAATAGGTTAGGTTTGGGTTTAAAAGTGTAGTAATAGTTATTTTTTAAAATATTTTTTATTTAAAAATTTATTAAAGTAGAATTATTTTATATTTAAATTTTATTTTTCATATTAATACAATAATCTAAAAACATAACAAATAAAAAAACTTAAATTTTTGTGAAAACACAAAAACAAACTTTCACTTTGCATCCCTATTACTTAATTCTAATTATGATTAACATCTATAATATGATAAACCCATCTGGGTTTTCTTTTTTCTATAAATTTCATTTTGTATTAAGCTAGTCATTATTAAGATGGTCACCACTAGCCAACTAGCTCCGCCGGCTCAAATCGCATGGCCGGTTCTCTAGCAAATTGATATGTGATTTGTTTTCGATTTTGAGGTCCTTGATATGACAACCTATAATAGAGCAGACGTGGATTTAAAAAGTGTTAAAAGAATATTTGGAAGAGGAGTAGAGGTGTTTTTTTTTATTTTAAAAAATTATTTTTAATATTAGTATATTAAAATAATTTAAAATTAAATTTTTTTTAAAAAATATTAGAACACAAATGATGCTGCTTATTCCATGGCTATGTTGTTTAATAGTTTATTTAATTTGTAAATTAGGAACGTAGAGACCCTTCTATCCAAATCTCTACATCATCTGCCTCTTAATTTCTCGGAAAAAAAGTAATTAAGTTTTTTCCACCCTAAATCAACATCAGTATCATCATCGATCAACCCATCAAGATATTGAATTGAGCCTTGTTTACACGGTCCCCGCCAAGAATTGTGAGGAACGACAGAAGGACTGGAATTGCAATATCTTAGCATAGATTAAACTAAATTAAGTTTATTAATGTGCCCTGCTTTGGGCTGTCCTTTTCAAACCTTCAAAATCCCCCATGAAGGTTTAGATCAAGTCGCTTCAAAATTTCAAGAGCTTTAAACTATATATATATATAAAGGACCGCAAACATAGCTTTTAGCTCATGTAGCAAGTTAAGGAAAAATCTTGCATGCTCTACCTTTAAAATTATAAAATTAAGGGTATAGAAACGTTGACACCCCATCAGCAACTCCTGCAAAAGATTATTAAAAAGAAAGCTTGCAAAAAAAATAATTAAGGAATTCAATTTCAAGATAACCCAGAATTATACGATGAAATAAAAATAAAAATAAAAATAAAATATAATTAAAAAATTACTCGAGTCAGCTATAATTAGAATATCAAACCCATGAGCCAAGTTGTGAGGTCAGAATAACACCATATAAAGCAAATAAAAATATTACAATATTCAATTCTCAACAATCCAAACATAAAAGGATAAAATAAAAAAAAAATCAATTAACAAAGAGGTAAAAAACACAAGCAAACCAAAGCAAGTTCATCAAGCCCGGCGAGTCAACTCATGTGAGCGGGATAGCCTAATAGAAGGTAAAATAGAAAAAATTATGAAGCTCAAATTCTCAAACTAAGCCAATGCACTACCAAAATTTTTAAATTTACTAACAGAATTTTATGTCGATATCTATATTCGCAATCCATCGGCACAAAGCTGACTAGTGCGCTCATGTATGGAATAACCCATCAAAAAACTATCATTGGTGATTTGTGATCTATTGATGAGTCTGTCGATAATGATTTAACAGATGTATTTATTGATGGATAAAACGCACAAAAAAAAACTTTACTATTATGCCTATATTTTCATCGCTCATAGACAAAAAAACCATATGGCATTCCATCGTTGATTTTTTTCATCTATCGGTATATCCATTGATGAATTTGAATATAATCGTCAAACAAATCGTTTGTTATTTCATCGGTAAGTAAACAAATACAATGATATTTGTTGTAATTTTTTTCTAACTCTCTAAAATATACTGATGAACTATGTTCATCGGTAACCCCGTCAATAATAATTTAGAAATATATTTAATAATGTTTATTGGATTAGATAGTGTGAAATTAATAAAACCCTGAATTTCATTACAATAATTTATCTTACACAACTTTTTAAGTGAATCTTAATACATTCATGAACGATCTTCTATTACTTATGTCAAACCTCTATAAAATATTGATGACAAAATTTATTAATTAATTACGTCAACTAAATAAATAACAGAACATTGGTTTAACTTAAATTTATTCAGACTATGTTAATAGTACAACTAATTCATTATCAATTATCTATATAAATTTAAATTTCTATAAATTTTTCAAAAATCTCAACTCAACAATAAAATTAACAAAATATAAAATGAACTTGTTAAATAAGTCATTATTTATTTCATTAGAAAACACATAAGTCACAAATTCAAATTAATTTTCATCAATTTACAAACAAACATAATTTTATAAAATCTCAAACAAACTCTAACATGTACAAATTATACATTCATACAATAATTTTCTATGAAAAAAGTTATAAAATAAGTAAACACACAAATAAAATATATATACTACAAAAATATGCATGAAAAATTAACATTTTAAAATTAAGTTCAAATAAAATATTGGTAGTTTTGTTTACTTAAAATAAAAAATCCTCAATAAAATTTGAATCAAAACAGGGATGCTAATAAACTGAGTGTTGGGATAGCCAAATTTATAGTGGAAGATTTATTTGTGATAAAATTAGGGGGTGTTGTTTGTTGCAGAGAGAAATAGCAGAAGAAGAAGAAATGGGAGGGGGAGAGAGAGAGGAGAGTTGTTCGTCATGTCATAAATTAAATATTACTGATGGTTTTATTGAAGAATTGAATCGATGGATTTAAATCCATCAGTAATTATGCCTATAAAAATAACATGTCATTGTACTTGTTGGCTTTTTTTATTCATTCTTTTCTTACCAAGAGAATATTTTCATCAGTGTTTACTGATGGATATGACAACAACATATTTAATTGGAAAAATTCACCACAATATACCTATAAAAATATTACATCGGTGTGTTCATTTGTATTTGCTAGTTTTATGGTAGTGATGTTCAAGGATAAATTTTAAAAAATAAATCAATTTTAAATTGAGTATTGACTAAATGATATAGCATTTCTCTGACAACATGAGATCCTAAAAACAAATCACAAAACTAATCCCAAATCAATGCAATATTAAAGAATTGAATTAAAAAAAACTTTATTTGTGATAAAATTAGGGGGTGTTGTTTGTTGCAGAGAGAAATAGCAGAAGAAGAAGAAGAAATGGGAGGGGAAGAGAGAGAGGAGAGTTGTTCATCATGTCATAAATTAAATATTACAGATGGTTTTATCAAAGAATTGAATTGATAGATTTAAATCAATCAGTAATTATGTCTGTAAAAATAGCATGTCATTGTACTTGTTGACTTTTTTTATTCATTCTTTTCTTTCCAAGAGAATATTTTCATCGGTGTTTACCGATGGATACGACAACAACATATTTAATTGGAAAAATTCACCACAATATACCTATAAAAATATTACATCGGTGTGTCCATTTGTATTTACTAGTTTTATGGTAGTGATGTTTAAGGATAAATTTAAAAAAATAAATCAATTTTAAATTAAATATTGACTAAATAATATAGCATTTCTCTGACAACTTGAGATCCTAAAAATAAATCACAAAAGTAATCCCAAATCAATACAATATTAAAGAATTGAATTAAAAAAACTAAAAATCAAAATAAAAAACAAAAACAAAATACAAAAAAAAAAAGAGAGAAGAGAAGAAATCACTATGCAAACTCACAGTAATCTCTCTTATAATACACAGTGAAAATATGAATTCTTTTAGTTTTTGTCTTAATATATTATTAAATCAGACCAATACAACTACGAGACAAGATTAACATAGAACAAGTAGTCCCATGGACACAGACAAACAATCCAGGATGGCTTGTAATCATGATAGCTTGGTCTGAGTATTTGATTGAAGCTTCAAATTCAATCTAGAAAGCTGATTCAGGAACCCTACATCCTAGAAAGCTGATTCAGGAACCCTACATCCTATAAATATCAAGAAGCCAGCAAATGTCTTTTTTATTTCAAAATTCATTTTTAAAATGAGTTTTCAATTTTGCTTTTTTTTTTTTATTCAGCTCACAGTCACGATTTTCATGTGTATATCATTTACATCATAAAGAGGTTAATGTGGTTGCTAGCACATGTTTGCAATTTGCAAACTTCTACGTATCAAAAACAAACCTCTAAATCTCCTAGTAAACTACTTGAAGATTGTCAATTGTTTTTTTTTTATAAATTGCATGAACTGGTCTCCTAGTAAACTTGAAGATTGTCAATTGTTTTTTTTTTTTTATAAATTGCATGAACTGATATGTAACAAAATATATAAAAGAGAAACTTACCTAATCTTGATCCCCGCAGATGTCAAAATAATGGCTTTTGGCATAGCATTTTTTTTTAAAAAATAAAAATTTGGAGGATAAATAGTTGTCTTTGATATTTTTTTTCTTGTTCAAAAATACAGTTCAAATTGTATTTTTTTAATTTAATTTTTTTTATTTAAATTTAATTTTTTATATTTTTAGATTGTTTTAATACACTAATATGAAAAGTAATTTTTAAAAAATATTATTTTAATATATTTTAAAATAAAAAATATTTTAAAAAATAACCATTATAAAACAAATATAAAATAACAATGCCCCGTCCTCGTACACAATGCTCAGCAATAAAGTGAAGTGGACAGCAAGATGGAGTTTTGGACGTAATTTAACCGATGACCTGTCCCCATCTTTGCCACGAAATTCAAACGTTATTGTTTGACATGATCAAAAGAAAGTGGACGGTGTGATTCTTCTTAAGCCTTTTTCTAACCAAAGTCTTCGTTTCATATAGCCTTGGGTGCCATGTGCTCGTCCTTGGGGTCGTCCTTCCATGACCATGTATTTTCTTCTCTGTTATTTTCTATCCACGTTTTTGTTTCGATCACATTTATCCTTTTCAGATTGAGTAAGTGCTGATAGCTAGCTTCAATTTTAGGTTCGAAGTATCGGTAATTGGTGAAATCTTTTTTTGATTTGCAAGGAGATTTAAAGCTATATAAGTAATCCATATTTCCTGGATTTTGTTTTTCGTTCTTCTCTTGTATCCATTTTTCTCTTGCTCACCAAGCCTCACTCTACTCCAAGATATATTAAGCAAGAAAATTAGGAGTTTTAACGATGGTTTTCTTGACAAGGATGTACAAGATCGCTATCTATGAAAATAAATGATAACAATTAGTGCATAAAGATTCTATCGTGTTCCTATGAGTATACAGCTCACGCCGCCCTCTTTCCTATGAATTCTTGGCCATCACAGACTCTTCACACATGACGATATTATGGTCTCCGCATAATTGCTTCTTCTTCTTCTTCTTTTTTCTTCATCATATGTTTCTTTAGTGAACGCAGCAAAATGATCAGAATAGGATGAAAAATATTGAATACGCGTTGTAATTAACAAGTGCAGGGCCCGTACAAGACTGACTTAATGTGTTCAAAGAAGAAAAGGGCCGGATTATTTTCATCATCAAAACTTAATCCTTTCCCATTGGTACTGTAAGAATATGTGATTCACGGATAAGGGGAAGATTTTTCCTCTCTTGTTGTCGAGTAAAAAGGGTACAAACATGAAGCAACCAAGAAAAAAATGCCATTCCAGTTAGGAGAAAGAAAGCATCTTCAAGATTACCTACAATGGCCCACACCGAGGTGCCAAGCGATAATTAGTTTGCTGGTAAGAACCTAGCAACGTCCTCATAAATTTCATAATCTTAATAGGCCTCCATTGTCAATGGCCATGCCATTGAGCTTTCTGTGGCGCCTTCCATAGAACTGGATGGATCCTAGAGAAGTTCCCCCCATAGAATGCCACAACACCATGAAGAAATGGCAGCTCTAGTAAGATAACACAGAATAGCCACTGTAGCATAGAAGTAAATAAACATGTATTTGTAAATAACAGCAATGATTCAGCATGTGCTGTTAATAATTCTCATGTGATAGAATTAGTTGGAAAATAGTTGAAGAAGATGTTAATAGTTAATTAGTTAGGCACTGTTGGTTAGCTAGCATAAGGAAGAACAAATACAGTGATTGTAAAGCTTGGAGGGCAAGTAATGAATGGATTGTCTTTCTTTGATGTTACTAAAATGTTCTGCGAAAAGAAAATTTCATGATTTCAAGTAGTGCGAAACACACCCTACTTAATTTAAAAGATAAAGTAAAAAGAAAATATATTTGCTGACATTGTATATGCATAATATACCACAAAAGCATGTGAAATATATTTTGTTATTATTCGAAAGGCACAGTGATCATTGGTAATCACACTGCTGGATTTCATTGAAAAGAGTTGCAACTTCTGACCAAGTTCATCCTACACAGGACCAAAACCATCACCTTTCAACTCAAGTCTATAAAACTACTAGTGTGAAAAAAAAAAAAAAAAAAGTCCATAAAACTACTAGTGTGAAATAATTTGTCAGCGCCGAATTGTCATTTTCGTTCTATTTTGGCCCGAATGGTTGGTATATCTCATATCATTAAAAAAAAAAAAAAAACAAATTCTCACCAATTCTGTCTATTCTATTCTAGATAAAAGATCAACAAAACTAAATTGTGATTTTACTATCTAAATATGCAAGGCCCTTAAAATGAGTTGACACAACAGCTCTCGGTCCAAAATGAATTGGGGTTCTAAGGATGAGCCCTTCACTTAGGGAAATTCCTTTGATTTGAAAAGGCAAGGGAAAAAAATAAAATCACAATGTTGAACCTGGGGAATGTTACCAAAATTTGTGCTCCTCAATGGGCTTGACGATCTAGCATCTCTAAAGTTGGTGAAAATAGCTTCACACGGGGAGTGCGGCTGCGCTTTGAGGGGGGAATTTCAGCACTCTTGTGATTGAAGTAAATAACTTCAGTTGAAAACGCTTGCAATCTTTTTTAAAAAAAAAAAAAATTGATCCCATATAACATCATTCAGCTTGTTTGAGCTTTTGTTCATTAAAGCTATAGTATCTAATTTTATTTATTTATTTAGCGTTGCCTCTTCTTCTTTGGAGAGTTAACGTAAAATTGAAGTCCTCATGCTGTAGATTAATCTCCCTCCCACTAGATGAAAGAAAATTATATTCTTTGTGGATAGCTACTGAAGTGAAGTCTGATTAAAGATGTTCAACTTCGAAGAGAATTCCCCCTCTGTAAGCAAAGTAGCAAATATTTCATTTTCTGATTCCCAAGATTCTAACTAAGAGAATTTCTGCTACTCTTCCCCAACGTGGAAAGGATTTAGCAGGCACTCAATTGGAATGGATGAGAACGAAATAAATAAATAACAAAACACAACATATTCCCCAATAAAATTTCGTTTTTTCCTGCAAAATATGGCTCTTCAAAAACTCTTGCCATTTATTTTAAATACCTAGACAGATAACTTTTGATTACATGCATGCGCCCAAAAAAATAAGCTGCTCGTCCAAACCAGCTTATTCATGATAAAGAAACTGTTGCCGGAAATATACAACTGCACAATGAGTGAGATCAAATCAATGACTCCACAAAAATCAATTTCAGAAAGCAATAATCAACCTACATTGGACCAACATGTAAAAGAATTCGGTCTATAAAATACCTCGTTCTCCATACAATAAACTCGATATTCTATTTACATGAAGAGCCTGCAACATTAACTTGTGTAAGAGCAGCGCGTATAAAGAATATGCTCCAACAAGATAACAGGCAGCTGATATCCAAGCCTTGCAACACCCTTGGTGAACAGGTATTGGATTGTTGCACAAAAATATATATCACAGAACAATTAGGCAAAACAACGATTTTCATTTCCCACAAAACTCATGCTAATTCTTGCTATCTGAAAACCAGGCTTCCATTCTGTTGAAATCGTAAATTCTCGATGTGTGACTGGTAGAATGATCTCAATGCCTTCATATCATTACCCTGCACATACAAACATCAGAAGCACAAAGCAAAATTGGAGAAATTAAACCAGATTTGACCATTCGTACACCCATTTAGAGACAAAACTTTAATGATACACGCATCAGTTTTTGGTGATACTTATTAGCTGTATTCTACTTGTTAGCCTGATTCATTGAAATATAAAGCAAAGAGTTTAAAACCAAATGCTTGCTGCAAACAAACATTTCCAGGAACCTAAATTTTCAGTGCATGTAAGAAAAGTTTTCCTAACAAATTAATCCTCAAGTTTCAATAACCAACCTCAGTCCTTCCTCAAACATACATGCTTGACACTAGGCTTGGATAAGAAGGTTTTGAGAGAAGGATATGAAAAACAGAGATCAAACCCTTCAAGCTTTGTCTAGAAGGAGCTTTATTTTAAGGGTGAAAAGGGGGAATGGAGGGTTTGACATGCAATTCACTCAAATGTTAAAATCCCAATTCCCAAAACTCAAGGGTTAAAGGAAGGGAATTTAGTTTATAATCTGACTTGTGTTTCCAGCATTACACTTCAATCCTCTCCAACCTCCAGCGAAGAAAAATACAAATATATAATTAAACACCCTTTCAAAAAAACAAGGAAAGTTAGATGACATTTCCAACTTCCTTCTATACATCCAAGGAATGAAAAAATAATTATCTTGCCACTCGTTATCATTCCCTTCTCTCCTTATAAAAACTATACCCTTTCCATTCCCCCCTTCTTCCATCAAAATACACAAGAAATTACACTTGAAAAAACCTTCAATTCCAAGACCATGGGCTTAAATCTTGTCCATAATGCATCAAAACCCAAACATCTGCACTAATCTGTATCCTGTAGCCAGGGTCAAAACTAAGTCCCAGTTCCAATTACTGAGTTGACAAAAGTCAAGGTGGAAATTCTGTGCAGGAATTTAGCACCAGGAAAGGCTCACATCTGCATGCATAATGACATCAAATTTTATCATTTGACTAAAATTATCATGTCACTAAAAAGTTTGGAGAACAATCCCCAAGTGGACCAGATTTTGATCAAACTTATGAAATATAACCCAAAATGAATATAATCTCCCCGAGACCACAGCTAAAATATAAAATGATTTGAAAACCACAGAAAAAATAAACACTCAAGCAAGAATAAAAGGGGGACAGATCCCACAATATATGTGGATGGACAAAAAGCACTTCCACACACTTCCAAAAACTTTAGTAAGATACGGAGCACTATTTTGTTACCTGCAACTTTTGGCAATATTGTGAAGCTAAATCTTGGGGGCAATGTGCAGAAGTAAAGCATTTTGTTACAAAATGAGCAAGAAAATCATCACCAAACTTCTCATACATAACCTTCTGAGCAAGTACAATTTCTCCAAACAGAATGAGCTGCCAGACAGAATCCGAATAGCAATTTCAAAAACATTTATTAATAACTAGGCAAGAAATTATTTGACAGGCAAGCAATATCAAACACTCAATTATAAAACTAATACAAATGGGATGTGAAAGATGATCAATAAACTGGAGCAAAAAAGTATGAAATGCGAATTGGGGAAAAGACTGGTGAAGTGCATCTTTCAAGACCATATCTTTTTTTTAGAAGGAAAAGCACTGATATCAAAATTGATCGAACAGTTCTTACAGTAGTTGCATCATGGAACTCAAAGGATTTGTCAAGCGTGCTGTCAAAACAACAGTTCATCGCAAAGCCATCAATTATAAACCTTTGGAAACCAGGTACCTAAATATTCAATTCCATTAGAGTGAAGAAAAGAAAATCCTTGACATAAAAGCCACTAAGAATGATATCTTAGAGGTAGGCAAACCTTTTCTTCACCATAAGGCCTTGTACACCAGTCTTTAATTAACCTAATGAATATCTGCACGCACACCTGAATTAAGAGGGATAAAATGACACTTTACGTTCACAACAACACTAATAATCAGAAGATCCAAAACTTCAGTGGGCAAAATAAAGGATGTATCAGATGCACCTTTCTCACAAGAATATCCTTGTGATTGCATGCTGAGTGCAGTAGCAAATGCATTATTTTATCCAAGTAGCTCCTACTCTTGGTTGAAAGGAAGACTGAAGATAGATCATGTGTAGCTATCACATGAAGAAACGTGTACAATGTTTTTTGGAGTTCTTGTAATTCACGAATTTCCTGCAAAATAAGTCAAGTGGTCCTTATTCAAGATAGCACATAACATCTCAGCTATAGAAAAGAATGTTGACAAGGATTACTAGAAATGAAAAATTCCTTTCAGCCTCTTTTGAAATAGCTTGTCAATCAATATTTGCAAAGTGGATCGAGCATGCTTTCACCATGATGAAAAAAAAAATTGTGCCGGCAACTATTATGTTGCTTAAGAGGAGAACTAACTTTAGGAGTTTATCAAACAATTTGATGCAAACAAAAGTAGAAGTAATATAGGATAGCAGCTTGCAACAGTCGGGAAAATAACCATCCAAGCACACATAAGATAACATTTGAGCTTTAAGCACCAAAACTTTAATAATGTCTGGGAAACTAATGTAATGACGCTAAAAATACATCCATCATTTGCTTAAAAGAGACTCTTGGGAGAAGAATGTTAACTAAACCCTAAGCGTTAATTTAAATATCTATAGAGAGTATTTCCATACCTCAGAACTGGTTCCATCTCCTAAAGGCAATTCTTCAGTTGAGACTATCCTAAAGATTCTACTAGCAATAGCTGGAAAAACTTCCTCCACTATGTGATGCATCGAGGCGTTGAATTTGCATATAAGCTGATTGAGCAGAAGAAGAAAACCAACCATTTCCTTTGGCTGCAATAAAATACATATTCTAGAATCAGGCATTCATTTCACAAGAGAAAATGTAAAAAACTTCAATGCAATTAACACTTTTATGTGGTTTACATGTTCCAAAAGATGTCCCTGTCGAGTTGCTTAAAGTTTTCCCTGTCACATTGGGAGAAACAGTCACTTTTTTCTAATGTTATCATAAAGAAGTTGAATGTGAGAAAACTTTAACCATTTAATGCGTGCAATAGAAGTTACAAGATGGGATCATTTCCTTGTGTTACACTACCACATTCATGCAAGCTGAAATTGGGAGTAAATTAAACACTCTAATGCTATACAAAACATAAATTCTCAAAATGCAGCTGCTCATGATGCAGGAAACGAACAGATTAGTTATATGTGGCTTTATTCAATTCCATAATTCAGGAATATCTTGTAATTTCAGATTTGCATGGGTATTTCAGTAATTTAATATTTCCTGGAAATTTATAGGTCATGGTTTCTATTTTAGCAATCGTTAAATATTTTAAGCCTCCCTGTTTAGGTTTGTTTATCCTAGATGCATGACTGGTAAAAAAAAACCCTTTATTTGGCAGTCTAATATACTCTCTTATTTGGGAACCCTGGTCCTTGTTGCACTAAGAAATTATTAGGTACTCCTAGTGTAGCTGATAACTATCCATGGATCCCACTTTTATGTGAGTGAGGAAGCGCTCTACCAGGAGTATCTAATAACCTCTTGTAGAGGGAGCACTAACCCTCTCTCCATGTATTATAGCTATAAAGTCTTTCAGTAAGTGCAATTGCATTATTTCTAGAATTTATGCATTTTAGTTTTTTACACTCATTCCAACTCTGTTTCCAAAGTCCAATCCCTTTCTTCTTTAATCTAGACACTTCATTCCAATAGTGTCCAAGCCTGGGCCCGCTGTAACAGAAACTCAAACCTGTCCTGCACCAGCTTTGTACCTGGTATTATTATATGAAAATGAACATTGTTCAACTAATTCAATAAAAGAAGGCCAAATTGCTTCTTAGTGGGTCAAATATCTTGACATGGCAATTCCATTGTCAATTGGTGAAGAACAAAATTATGGGGATTTTCCATGCTTGAATAATTTTGCAGACAGTTTTTAGGGCATTATCATAACAGAACTGCATGTAAAAATACCCCACCAAAACACAGCCCCCTCCTAAACTTGGTGTGGGTTTTGCAATCAGGTAAATTCACTGCTCCTGTCCCAGAACATCAACCATAGACCAAATAAGCAAGGTAAAAAATCAAAAATCTAATTCCATTATCATGCCAAAGAGCACTCAGGATTACTTAAAAATGAGAAGACTATTAATAATGGTAATCAACAAAACACAACCAAAAAAGACATTTCATCAATATTAGATGTAAGACTGGAATCTATAGACTGGTAAAACAGGAATCGTTTTCTTTTTACCTCACTTTCCGCAAGCAATTGTCCCAGTGCCTTTGGAAGACAAGGAAATACAGATGCTCCTAAAGTATCTACCATACGATGAATGAAGGATGTAACCTGCATACAATGAATGCTATCTTAGGCAATATGTAAAGCCAACAAGATGTCCAAAATAAAAACCGCTTTTATGGCTCCATATCCAATCCTCACCTTATTCCGTAAAGGCTCTATCTTTGGAAATACATCAAGTATTTGGAGGAGAATGTCCAAAGTCTGGATCACAAAGAAAGATAATAAAACTTCAACAAAAAGGAAAGAGATGCAATGACAGAATTTCTGTTCTGGCATTTCTCCAGTTGCATCTAGCAGGTCCTGGCATCTATTGATAGGCAATGTAACAATCCATTCTCAATTTCTCACCATAGTTAATACAATAATGAAAAAATAGAAGACCTCAGCAATTCAAAGCAAAGGAATAAAACAAGAAGATGAACAGCAGCACAGCAAAACTGTCATCCCATCAGTATAGGAGGTAAATGAATAAATACACAAACAGTCCTCCACACTCTGAGACATGGGGGGAATATCAAACCAACCAGGCCATAGGCAAGATATCATGCATGACTCAAAAGTTCTTAATTGTAAAGATGATGATGACAATTATGTAATATCATAGATAGAGAGGGATTTGTTAACTTATTGGATTGCAAAAGGTGACCAAACCAGAGATAGCACGTGATGCAAGAAACAAAAAAAAAAGATCTGAAATACCAACCTTCTTAAACATGACTCCTATTGCAGGGCGACTCATGGTTACCAGGCGCTCACTAAAGCCCTGGGTCAGAAAAGGAATTTTCACATTGCATGTATTTGAAATTGAGACTCAAATGAAGAACCAAAAACTGGTGTAAAGAAGCCATAAACATGCTATTTTGTATCCAAGCAATAATAACAAAAAAATATAATCAGGAAAGTGAGAAAACCTAGTATGCAAAAAATTCATGTGATTATAAGCTGTCAATTAATTACAAGTGATTAAAAAATATCCACCCCATCACCAACAACAAAGTAAAATAGCAAGAAAAACATATTATATTGAAGAGGGAAATGAGCATGAAGTTGAATTCAGAAAGCCAAAGGAAAAAGGAAAGCAACCTTGCTGAGGGCATTAATTGCCATGATTATATGCTGAATATTAGCAATTTTCACTGGAGATTCTTCTGGGTTCAGTACATTGGCATTTATGAGTAATGCCTCCACCTGGATCAAGTAAGAATACTTCAGAAGCATGTATAAGAATGTCAGTGTAAATGCCATCAGGCATGGGTGCACATTTGAGTAGGCTCTTCAGAAGCCATTCCAAGAACAATTTTAAATGCAAGTGTAAGTAAACCCATTAAAAAAATATGAGCAGGAGAAAGGAATAGTAGAATAAACATTTTAGGAAACTTCAAATCTAACTGTAACCTGATGACAAAGAGGAGTGAGCATCGAAGATAGATAATCAGATTGCTTTTCCAACGGTAGATCTTCCATCCCAATTAATAGACCAATTGCCTGTGAATACCCACCACAAATATCAGAAGAAACCAAAGAACCATCGCACTCTATGGAAATTTTGTACATACTAAAAAATATCTATTTACCTGTATGCCATTATATGATGCATGTCTCCATTTGTACGTTTATTCAAAACCAAAAGTTAAAAAAATTAATAAGAGAACACAAGGCACAGTTCGAGTACCTCAAAGATGTGGATACCATCCTCAGATCCTGAAAATTCATTCGATATATGATTCATAGTTGTAAACCTGACTACTGTATCTTGGAGGCTCTGTCAATTTGAAGAATAACCGGTAATCAAGATCGAAGAAAATATATGAGAAGAAGTTTTATAGATCATTGATTACTATAAAACAAGAATATGGTTGTCTTACTACCTGCAAAATTTTCTCTATGAAAGGCACAAGCTTTGCTTTCAGCAACTTTACAGCCCTCATGAACAGATAACTAGCTCTACGACTTACATGGAAGTTTGGGTGGTGTATTCCTCTCTCATCCAGAAATGCAGCCAAAGCCATGGGGACATAACGGGTATTCTCCTGAACAAACTTCATATATCTAGTTATAGTCTCCAAATACACAAGTGCAACTAACCTGTTAGAATGGCACGGAAACCTTGTCGAGAGGAGGTTTGGCACCAATTCATGCAACAGTCCACTTCCAGTTCTTATGGCTTCATCACTCAATGACTCTCCAAGTGCATGCATAAGAGAAAGAGAAGCTTCCACCTCTTCAACATTTCTTTCTGACAAGGATGAGATAGAACTGGCTAAAGAATTTCTGATAAATATTTGAGTAACATCTGGGGCCACACGACCCACACTACGCAACAACAAAAATAGATCCTTTCTATATTCCGACATCCTTTCTTCCTCCTCTCTCCCAATCTTATCCAGCATATCAAGATTATCACGGTAGACGGGATCATAACGAATTTGTGCACATATCACTTCCAGTATCTGATGCACATGACGCAGTTGTTTCTCCCTCAATGGACAAAGGTTCTTCATAGTGGCGACATAACACGAAAGGAATTGCACAATACTAAATGTGGTGCCCAACTCACAGTTTAGCATTGCATAAAAAACAGATGGCAAAACTTCATTCAAAAGCTCAAGAGAAACACCCTTAGCATCGTCTGTATTCACCCAATTATAGCACTCTAGAACCTCAGCAGCATACCCGGTAATTAATGTAGCTACTTTTGATACCAACTCCGAGTCACCATCTCCAGTTACCAACCCAAAAACCCTATTTATCTGCAGACTTTGCAATATTGATAACTTCGATCGGTGATCCATCCGCTTGGAAACTACAGCCAAAACACACCCAGCAGCAGCACCTTGAAGCTGATCAGATCCCCCATCAACTAAAATCATCTGAAATAATAATGGAATAAATAGATCATTCACAATCAACCCAATATCAATCCATGAAATATACCTCCTCATCGAATCTAACAAACCAGAACAAAGGTCCGGATCAGAATTCCAATACATAGATACAACGTCATACCAAAAAGCCACTATCTGTGTTATGCATTGCTGCCTCATAGCATCCTTAACCCGCCCTGCAACCCCCATCTCCTCGGATGTCCGTGGGAAATCTAAACTAATCAATTCATCATCCAAAGCATTCAAAATCCTACAGAACATATCAATAACCACCGCCCCTTTTCCCAAATGAGGCAAAAAATCTACAAACACCGAAGACCAAATTAGAGGGTACTCAAAATAAACGAAAGCAACAAAAACCTGAGCAAGCTTATTCTTTATAAATGCAGGGCCGCCCTCTAAAATCCTTACAGCATTATTATTCTGATCATCAATAGCCTCAAAACAACACATAGAAAACACGGATTTCCTAATGAAATCCTTCTCTTGTAAACTCAACAGAGCATACTTCACCCTAATAAGCTCGTGTAAAGTCTGTAAACACCAAAACTGAACTTGAACAAGCCTGCAAAAACACAACTTCTCAATGCAAAGACAGCATACAGTTGGGGTTTCCTTAATTTGCTGACAGAAAGAAACTGCTTGTGATTTTAGGGCTGCATCTATAGCTCCCGATTCATCAAAACTTATAAGTATTGCTTTTTCAACATCATCCATTGATTAAAACTAATTTACGAATCAAAACCAAATAAAATTTGAATGCTTTTTTAGGGTTCTGAGAAATTTAAAGAGAGCACGAGAGCCCAATACCAAAATTTGAGTCTATTCAGTTTAAATTTTAGGGTTATGAGAAGAAGCTTAGCTGATGGTGATTTCAGAGATTCTTTATAACTATGTGCGTCACTGGTGTGGGTTTGAGTTAGGGTTTCTGTGGGTTGAAGAGGAGAAATCCGTAGACCGTTTTTGGATTGAGATTAATTTATAGTTATAGTTTAGCAAGCTTCAGAGGAAGAGAAGAGAATTGTGCTGAAAATAAATTGAAGTGTATAAATAGGTATCAAGAGCAGGAAGAAGTGAGGAGTTTAAGGCGGAAGGTTTTTTAAGATCACTTTCTAAATAAATAGGAAAATTGATCAATAAAACACATGAAAATTTGATTTGATTTGTAAAAAATAATTTATTTTTGTTTCAAGTACAAAATATTTTAAAAAAATTATAAAATATTATATTATTTTTTCATTATAATAAATTTGGTTTTTAAAATTTTAATTATTATATATTTTATTTTGAATTTTTTTATATTTCACTCTTTAGAATTTGATTTAATTTAATTTTTTTGTCTGATTGTTATTTACTTTTATCTTATTATTTTTTAATTAAAATTTTTTATTTATCAAATTTGATCCTTATTCTTTTAATTATTACTTATTTTATTTGAAATAATTTATGAAATTATAATTATAATTATTATTATTATTATTTTATCATCTTACAATTTTTTTATTTATTAAAATAATTGTTATTTATTATATTTTAGATAATTTATAAAATTATATTTTTTTTAATTTTATTTTTATTTAACTTTTAAATTTGTAAAATTTATTCCTCATTATTTTAAATAAACTTAAAAAAAATATATAAATAAGTTATTTTCTAGTTTATTTTTCATGACATAACCAAATACTAAAAAATATTTTTTAAATTATTTTTTATAATACTATCAAATATAAAAAAAAATAATTCACTTTTTATAAAATTACTTTTTAAAGAAATAACTTTCTAAAAAAAACTACTATTCAATAATAAACAGAAGCTAAAATATATCAAATTACAGCTCATATATTTGGAAGCTAACAAAAACAAAAACAAAATTCGAAGTTTGAATTAAGATTAATTTATAGTTTGGTAAACACCTTTGGTTGAAATGATAAATTTTGAAAATAAATTTTTATATAATATTTTTAAATTAAAAAAAATATTGAATTGTTATATTTTAGAGTAAAAAATATTTTGCATCATCACCAGTAATTAAAATGCAAAATATATTTTTATGTGCGAAAATATTTATGCCTCTTTGTTTTTTTATAATAATAAAATTTAATTAAGTGATATTTAAAATTTGGTATACTTATAAAACTTAATAGATTTTACCAAAATAATATTGTTTTAGTTTAGAAAAATCTTAAAATCATATTTTTTAAGTATTTTTCTAATTTAAAATTTAGGATAGTTCGGCATTATATTGCTTTACTGATCAAATTTTTGATTTAGGTCGATGACCAGATAAAAAGTTGCATTCAGTTTTTTTAAAATACTTTTTTTTATATTGATTTTACTCTTTATTTAATAGACAACATTTCTAATTAAAAATATCTTTTTATCATAAAAACAAGAAAAGAATTGTATGAATAAAAAATAGTTTTGAAAAACAAATAAATTTTTGATTTTATTCATTATTTTTTCTACAAAAAATTATTTTTATTGTTATATAATTAAATAAAAAATAAATTATGAAACTTATCCACACAACATCGCTAATTAATTAACAAGATTATAAAAAAAATGATGTTTTTATTTTCAATCACCTTATAAAATACTATTCATTTCAATTATATTTTATTTAGGGTTTTTTATTCTTAATTTAAATTTCAAACCTATACTTTGATTTTTGGTTTCTTACGGAACGAGATTTATGAGTTTTTTAAATTTTATTTTTATAAGGTTATTAAAATCTCATGACTCGGGTCATGAATTTAATGGGTTTTTTAAATTTTATTTTTATAAAGTTATCAAGACTTCATGACTCAGGTCACAAATTTAATGGGTTAACCTAGTTGACTATATTTTTTTAATTTTATCTTTCAATATTTTATTGATTGGAAATAAAAGTTTATGATTTATTTTAGTTTCTTTTTTATGAGATTATTCAGGTTTCATTACACGAGTAACGAGTTTAGCGAATTAACCTGAATTTAACTTTCTTATTTTTTTTATTTATTTTTTAAATTGATTTTTTTTTCAATTTCATCATTCAAACATTGAGTTAATTAATAATTATACTTCTATAATTTATTTTGATTTGTTTTCTATTGAGTCATTTTTATTTTATGAACCAGGTTGTGGATTTGATATTTTAATTCAAGTTGACTCTTATAATTTCTAAGTTAACTTCATATTAGGTTACTCAGATATTATGACCTGGATCAACGGTTTGACGGGTTAACCTGAGTTGACTGAATTTATTTTTTGTGTCATTTTTAAATTTATTTTTTTAAAAAAATTCATACTTTACCATTGAATTAATTGGAAATTAGGTTGCATAGTTTACTTTGATTTTATTTCTATGAAGTTATTCCAATTTTATAATTCAGATTATGAGTATTACAAATTAAATTAAGTTGATTAAAGTTTTTTTCTTAATTGATTTTTTCTGTACTTCATCTAGCAAGCAACAGTGAATATATAGAAAAAATTATTCATAATTTATTTTAATTTATTTTGTTTAAGATTATTATGACCTCATAATCAAGGTTATAAATTTAATAGATTGACCCAAATCAATTAAATATATTATCATTTTATTTTAAATTTTTTATTTAAGTTACATTATATTTTTTTCTATTTATCAAGATTATCTTTGAACTCATTTTATATAAATTAAAAAAAAAGGTTATTAACAAATCCTGAATTTGTTTTTTAATATTTTAAAAAACTTAATCCAATCTGTCGTATAGTACGGATGAATGCTCCGGTGACATCTAAAGTCCTCACTAGCAATTTCACCCTCCCCCGCCACTAATTTTCTTGCTCTTCTATTTTACTACTCCTCCCTTGTTTATTTTGATGCATTTACATGCTATAAAAAAGATCCAAATCAAATGTGAGATTATTGATGGATTCCACCGGTCTAATAGCTTATTATTTTCTTCTCATGTTTTTTATTTTATAAGAAATTATTATTGTTTAGCAAATCTGTTTTTCTCTTCCAGGAAATTGGAGCCCTTTCATTATTTTCATTATTTCATTATTTTTTTTTTTTTTTTAAATAGAAATGGATCCACTTTAATGAACGTGATAGACAGATGGTTGTTTACTAAGATAAGACAATTTTGCTGCAAAAATTTTATGATATAATTGTTTTTTAAGATTTATATCTTTTTTTAAAAAATAGATATAAGTAGAAGATATAAATCTAAAAAATAAGATATTATTATTATTTTTTTGTGGGTCCTAAATTCTTTTTTTTTTTTTTTCTAATTTGTGTGTTTACATTTGTTTCTTCAAAATGAATTCTGGAAAGTAATTAACACGAAGCTATTCACTCTAAACAATTTTCAAGTTTTTCATGAAATTTTTTTTCTAAAAAAAGCGAGTTTTTTTTAATAACAAAAACATGATTCAAAAGATATTTTTTTATTTTAATTATTTTAATCTAATTATTTCTCTATTTTTATAGCATAAAAAAACAAAACAAAACAATAAAAAAGCAGAAAAATAAGTGGATGAAAGCCCTTGGGTCCGTACGCAATGCGAAGTGAAGGTCAAAACTCAAGCCAATTCTCCAGTCCAAACTAAGTGGAACCCAACAATTTTGGGCTCGTCTCCATTAAACTAAAAACAAAAACTCAAGCCAATCATCTAAGAAGGTCCGATGCACAAGAGTTTTAGCCTTTAGATGAATCTATTTCTTCTGCTTCTTCTTCCTTTTTTATTTTCTACTTTTGGACCAACCATGAATCGATTGGTGGGAAAATGAAAAGAAAAAAAACATAAATGTTAGATCAATTTTTATAAACTTTGTGTGCATAAATCTTTTAAGTCAGTGAAGATCTCCATCATATTTTTTTTATTTTTCAGAAACTGTTTAATTTGAATCTTTTTTTTTCTTCATAATTAATTGAACTTCATAGTTCATATGTTATAATTTCTAACGATATTTATTCATTGGAATTGAAAAAATCACTAGCACAGTGCCTTGTGAATATTGTTCTTTTCCAAAAAAAACAAGAAGAAGAAGAAGAAGCTCGAGCTCTTCACCATATGGAAGGAATGCTGCATGAAGAGAGAAGCTCAGATTCCATCGAAAAGTATAAAAATTTAAAAATCATAGAAGGCATTTGATTGAAGTCTATATTAGGTCTCCCTCTATCTTTCCAGATATGAAGAAGTTCTTGAACATGACAGGTGATCGAGCTTATTAACTTGGAAACATCAGAAGATGATTGTGTTCATGTTTATCTCTATCGTGATCGCATCGAGCTTGACTGTAACAAGAAACTGATCTTGTAATGTGAAATTTGATCTTCTAGGTCCTGCTTGAGAACATAAAATCATACGCACGTCTTTTTTAAAAATATTTCATTCAAGTTCCCTTACTTTTAAGCTCTTCAAAAATTACATCCCTAAGAGTTTATGCATTGGGTGGGTGGGGTTGAGCTTGTATTTTTTTTAAAAAAAAAATAACAACCATGTTGACATATTATTTATTAAGACCAACAACATCTCATTTATAAATTCAGATTTTAGCCATCAATATAATGGTTAGAAATGTGAAGTGATGTTTTTTTGTTAAAAAATTTAATTTTTAAATCATTTCAATATAAAAATATTTGACTAATACTCTCTAAAATACCTATAAATTAACTTAAAATGAAAAAACAAGTTCAAGAACCTGAAATTAAATTTAGTTAGTTTTGACTTTATCAATTTAAATCTATTTTTAAAATGATATTAAAACTCTAAATAATTATCATCAAGATTCTCTTATTTTATAAAACTTGTAAATACTAAGAAAAAACTAATTTGATGGCCCAAAAGGATGTAAACGATAATTTTTTTTTATTGGAATCCAATAACTCCTTTTTCTAACCATAGATTAAAAAATACTATACAAAGAATAATTTAAAAAAAAATCTTATAACGACCTAAATTATATAATTTATATTATTTTTAAATATTAAGCTTTGAAACATAGTTGTCACGAATTTTTGACATGCCACCAATACAAACAATTACTAAAAAATAAGGAGGAGAAAAGTGGGAGTTTAACATCTCAACAATATAGATTTT